CAACCTCCGCTTCCCGGGTTCAGGCAATTCTCCTGCCTCAGCCTCCTGAGTAGCTGGGATTACAGGCACGTGCCACCATGCCCAGCTAATTTTTTGTAGTTTTAGTAGAGACGGGGTTTCACCATGTTGACCAGGATGGTCTCGATCTCTTGACCTCGTGATCCACCCGCCTCGGCCTCCCAAAGTGCTGGGATTACAGGCTTGAGCCACCGCGCCCGGCCTATACTTCTCTTAAAAGACCAGCTGATTATGTTCATGTGAGTCTATTTCTGGACTCTGTTTTGCTGCATTGATCTGTGTGTCTGTGCTCTCACCAGTTCCACACTGTCTTGATTACTGTAACTTAATGGTAAATCTTGAAATTGGATGGTGTTCTTTTGAAAAATTGTTTTGGTTATTCTAATTCCTTTCCCTTTTCATATGAATTGTAGAATCAGTTTTCCAGTATTACAAAAATAATAGTAATAAAGCCTATCGCTGGGATTTGATTGAAATTGTGTTGAACCTGCATATCCATTTGGGGAGAACTGGCTCATTAACAATAGCATGTTGTTCAATCCATGAACATGGTGAGCCCCTCCAATTATTTAGGTCTTCTTTGATTTCTTTCCCCAGTGTTCTGTCGTTTTCATCATACTGTAAGGTTAGATTTATACCTAACAAATATTTCCCTTTTTGCTGCTATTGTAAAGAGTCCTCTCCTTTGTTTTTAATTAACTTCAGTTGTTCATTGCTAAGATATTGAACTGTAGTTGATTTCTGTGAATTGATTTTGTATCCCATGACATTACTAAAGTTATTTATTAGTTCTAAGGAGGTTTTTAGTAGATTTTATGAGATTTTCTACATAGATCATGTTGTCTACCAGTGAAGTAGTTTTTGTTTCTTCCTTTTCAATCCATATGCCTTTATGTCTTTTTCTTACTTTATTGCAACTTCCAGCAGTATAAGAATGTGAGAAAGGACATCTTTTCCGTGCAGTATCTCACCAAGCATGGTGTTAGCTGTGGGTTGTTTTGTAGATGCCCTTTCTCAGTTAAGGAAGTTCCCTCCTATCCTTGCTTGCTGAAAGTTTTCTTTTTTTTTTTTTTTTTTTTTTATCATGACTGGATATTGAATTTTGTCCAAGGCTTTTTCTGCTTCAGTTGATACGACTATATGCCTTTTCTTGTTTTGTCTGTTCATAAGGCATATACATTTGAAACGTTTGGAAATATTGAGCCAGGCATGCATTCCTGTGATAAACCTTAGCTGTGGTGCCTTTCTACTTCTCTTTTTTTTTTTTTTTTTTTTTTTGAGACAGAGTCTCGCTCTATCGCCAGGCTAGAGTGCAGTGGCGTGATCCTGACTCACTGCAACTTCCATTTTCCGGTTTCAAGCAATTCTCCTGCCTCAGCCTCCCAAGTAGCTGGGACAACAGGCATACACCACCATGCCCGGCTAGTTTTTTGTACTTTTAGTAGAGACGGGGTTTCACCATGTTGGCCAGGATGGTCTTGATCTCCTGACCTCGTGATCTGTCTGCCTCGGCCTCCCAAGCATTTCTACTTCTTATATATGCTGGATATGATATGCTAATATTTTATGGAGGGTTTTTGATAGCCTGGGGCTTCTCTGCAAGCTTGTTAATGACTCAGCCCACGCTGGGTCCTTTCCTTTGAAATATTCAAGTATTCATAGTCCTGTGTGGGTTATTCTGAATCCTGGCCTCTCTTTCCTCTCTCTGTGGTTGGTGTTCTTCTGGCTTTATCTGTTTCTCCTTTTTGCCTACATGTTAGAAAAACATGAAGTTACACAACTCAATTCAGGAACAGGATTTAGGAAGAAGTATTTGAGTCCAGTAGTTAGCTTCGAATTGATTTGCCTCACATTATTGAGGTCCTACCAAGTGCTCCGTCCCCATTGTCACCTCAGAAGAACAGCTGATTTGCATTTATCTGAGCAGTCTAGTTCTCCATTACCAGGCACATGAGAGGAGGCACTGCTGAGGACGAACCTGCCGTCCATGTCTCTTGGTGGCCTCCCTGTTTCCTCCAGAGGCATCCAGATCCGGGCAGAGCCACAGCCCGCTTCCCGGGGACTGAAAGGCCATCTTTGTCTTTCCACCGGAGGCTTCTGCAGCGGCCAGGAGGCCTGAAAAGGACGCGGTGGGGGAAATGTCGGGAGTGGCCAGGTTCCGGCCTAACGGGTTATTTTTAAACAGCGAAGCCCAGCGACGTGGGGAACGTTCTAGAGGGAGGTCTTTGTTTTCACTTGGCGCAAAAGTGAGAGAGCAAAAGAGAATGCGGGCAGCAGGGGACGGCTGACTCCACGCCTGCCTTCTGCGACGACTTCAGCCGGACCTGGGGCTGCAGGTCACAGTGGCCATGACTGAACTGGGGACACGGTCGAGAGGCTGGAAGAGGAAGAGAGGGGCCGGCTAATGGCCTGCAGAAGCGGCGAGGCCGGCGGCCTGCTTGCTTGGCTCAGCAGTTTAGTTTGTGGGAGAGTTTGCACAGACAGAATCCCAGGCTCAGTGTGAGCATATTGTCGACAATCTGAGCAATCTGGGCGGCGAAGCCATCGGGGGAGCTTTTTCGTTGGTCTCATCAGCTGTCTGCACCCTCCTAGAGGAGGTACTGCCTACCTGAGTCCCTGGAGGCTCCCGGGGGCCTTTCTACCACCTGCTGCCCTCCCCTCCCACCCGGCCCCTCTCCACCCGGCTTCCCTCCCAGCCCCTCTCCACCTGGCCCCTCTCCAGCCGGCTCCCCTCCCACCCAGCTCCTCCCCCTTTCCTCTGGCCAGTATTCTGATTTCAGTCCCCATTACCTTGCTAGAACTGACATAGCCTCCTGCAAACTGACTTCCGTGTCTCTTCTCTCCCATCTCCAGTCCACCTGCTATTAGATTCATTTTCCTTAAGAACAGTTCTGCTGTGGCTCTACTCTGCTTAATAACCTTCACTGGCTCCCCATTGCCCACCTGGCACGTCTACTTCCCCTGCTTGGAATCTGATGCCCCCTGCATCCTGCCAGCTTTGCTTCCCGTCACACCTCTTCACATGTCTGTGCTGTTTGCCTAACATGGACAACAACCCTCTTGTTCCCAAACATGCCCTTGTGCTTTCCTGCCCCATGCCTTCTGTGGTTGTGTTCCCACTGCCAGAAGCCTCCGCTTCCCCTTCTCTGTGTGTTGGAATCCTCTGATGGAGGCCACACCCGGGCCATGTGTACCTTCATAGAGGACCTGCCTGACCTCTCCTTTCTCCTGGCATCATTCCTCACAAATCATAGCTCTCTGGTGGCATTTATCCCATTTTGTCGCTGTTACTTGTGTCTGGATCTTGAGCTCCTTACCCTTTAGGACGGGGTCCACGTCTCAGCTGTCCTCATGTCGTGCTCATCTCCTGGTGATCACATGCTGCACTTAGAGGAACCATCATTTTTGTGCTACTTTGTGCCAAGACCTTAAACATTATCCCATTGGTTCCTCCCAACAAACTTCTAAAAGGAGTTTCAATACCTAATACCTGGCCGGGCGCAGTGGCTCATGCCTGTAATCCCAGCACTTCGGGAAGCCGAGGTAGATGGATCATGAGATCAGGAGTTCAAGACCAGCCTGGCCAACATGGTGAAACCCTGTCTCTACTAAAAATATAAAAATTAACCGGGTGTGGTGGCGGGTGCCTGTAATCCCAGCTACTCGGGAGGCTGAGGCAGGAGAATTGCTTGAACCCGGAGGCAGAGGTTACAGTGACCCAAGATCGTGCTACTGCACTCCAGCCTGGGCAACAAGAGCAAAACTCTGTCTCAAAAAAAAAAAAAAAGGAAAACCAACATTTGTTGAGCATTTACTGGAGCCGTACCAGACTGTTCTAAATATTTTGCCTGAGTTGGTTCATTTAATCCTTGTATTATCTCTTTGTGGTATGTTTGATTATTTTCCCCTATGCTAAAGATGAGGAAACTGAGGCCCAGCGGAGTGAACTGGCCCCTTCTGGCTGTGTTGAGTGACCATCTGACCTGTGGGGGTTGCTAGCTGTGCATTATCGCGCCTGTTCAGCCTTCCTTCCTCTGATGGACGGCCAGCCTTTGGCAAACACTCAGACTTCCTTCCCCAGGCCCCACGGGGCACCACGAAATGATCACACGTTCTTAACAATAGCGATTCTGCAACCGTGACACATGCTTACAAATCCCTTAATGGCTTTTGTATTCTTGCTTTGTCATTTTTTATCCCAGACTAATTTCTTCTTCCCCAGGCTGGCACTTATTTGGCATTGTGCTGCCAGGGGTTTTAATCAAGGCAGCCTACACCCACACTGTGAAGCTCAACAGGCACTCACTTCTGGCACGTACCCAGGGCTGGGTGCCAGGCCTCCTGCGGGGACTGGCCCCAGAGCTTCTCCAAATACTTATTTCCCCAGGATAGTGGCCAAAGAGCTCAGCAGCAGAACTATTTCTTCTGTGTCAAGGTTCCTTAGGATTCTCTTTGGCAAAATGGCAACCAGTCTCTTATCCCTCATGCCAAGCACAGAGCTGGACATGTGTTTAGCCCTCAATAAATAATCCTTGAATAAATAACTTCATTCTCCTTTCTTTTTTGAAAGCTGGGGTTACCTGACAGGGAAACCAGGAAAATTCTGAAAACAAATCTATCAGTTAGCTTTTGCTGCCTAACAAATACAGATACTTATGGTGGGGTTACTCCTGAGAAAATTGCAAGTTAAAAGTACTGTTAGGTGAAAAATGCATTTAATACCCAGAATCTACCAAACATTATGGCTTAGCCTCACCCACCTTAAACATGCCCAAAACATTTACATTAGCCTACAGTTGGGCAAAATCATTTAATACAAAGCCTATTTGGTAATAAAGTATTGAATAACCAAGTCATATATTGATGTTGTACTGAATGTATATCACTCCACACCATGGTAATGTTGAAAAATCATAAGTTGAGCCATCATAACTGTCGGCACAAAGCCTCAGCGCACACAGCAGTAAGAGTGCATTACTCACATGACTGAGGTCAGCTGGCGATTGGCTCTGCTCGTTATAGATCAGGCTTCCTTCTGTGGCTGGGGGTTGGCTGCTGGCTTCAGCTGGGGTAACTGCAGTGTGACAGCGCTGTCCACCTGCCTCTCATCCTTCTGAGGCCAGCAGGATAGTAGCTTGGGTAGAGAAAAGTGATCAGATAATTGCATTGTCACAAAGCACACGGTGGGTGTTATGAGCATTCCAAACTCAAAAGGACCTACCTCTGCTGTGGCACTGAAGAGCGGCCGCATTTCATTTTAAGAAAAATCAATATGTAGACGTATTTGCTGGTAGAACTCTCTGTTCAAATGGAGTCTTACAGGAAACATGAGTAAATGATTCTTACAAGCTGCTCGGGGTAGGGGATGAGAGGAGGGTGGAGGCAGTTCCGTGTCTTCCTTCTGCTCCTTCCTGGTTTCTGTGGCTACTGGAAAACCAAAACCAAGAGCTCTCACAAGCGCCTCTGTCACTGGCATTCTTCATTGACCTGAAGCAGAGCATGGAACCTCCAGGCCCAGCACTTAGCTCCGTTAGAGCCTCTAGTCTGCAGAGGATTCAGAAGGAACAGAACGCCAGTGATGTAGAATGGAGGTGGGTGTTTATCAAGCCATTCTCAAAGTTTGGCCACCAGGGTGGTTTCGTCGTATAATATTCAGTAACAAGCCTCTCAGAGGTGACAGCTGCCTTTTAGCTGAGCCATCCCAAGAGTATCCGCTGAGGACACATTTTGAAGCCAGACCCCCAGGTGCAGGTCACAGATGGTGTCTCTCTCACACCTGTGCTTGTCACTGTCCTCTGGATAGATTTCAACTTCCCTGTGCAAAGAATCAAAACATGAAACCCAGAACAATGCATATGTTACTTTCAATAGAGGCCAGATAGGACCTTTTTATGTTTAAGTGCTTTTTCCGTAACAGATCACTCAGAAATTTAGTGGCGTTAAACAACCACTTATTCTCACCACTTCTGCAGGTCAGGAATTCAGGCAGGGCACAGTGAAGGCTTGTCTCTGCTCCTCGAAGCCTGAGGCCTCGGCTGGGAAGACTGGAAAGCTGGAGCCAGTCATCTGAAGGCTCACGGTCTCATGTTGCAGTTGATGCTGGCTGGGGGCCTGATGGGCCATGACAGCTACACACGGCCTCTCCAGTGGTCTAAGCCTCTCATAACATGGTACCAGGGTTCCTAGGATGAGCAGCCTGAGAGTGTGGACCAGGAAGAACTGCTATCGTAGGCTGCGACCTCGCCCTTGCAGGTCACGCCGGTGTCACTTCCATCACATTACAGGCGGCCACCAAGCCCTGCTCAGCTTCAGCAGGAGAGGAAACAGACTCTACTTCTTGGTAGTGGGTGGCAAGGTTCTGCAAGAGCATATGAGACTAGAAGTGTCGCTGTGGCCTTTTTGGAAAACACAGCCACAGTACGTTAATGCAGTATTGGGTGTTCTTTTATACCCCATTACCAAGGCCAAAGGAATCAGAATATCTGGTTGCAGAGATCTTGTTTTAGCTTCTTGCCCTCTCTCCCAGACCACTGAGCCCTTGGGGAAAGGTTTTTTCTTGTTTGTTTGTTTTATAACAGTCTCACTCTGTCACCCAGGGTAGAGTGCAGTGGCATGATCATGGCTCACTGCAGCCCCAACCTCCCAGCCACCTTCCGAGTAGCTGGACCACAGGTGTGGGCCACTGCACCCACCTAACTTTGCAACTTTTTGTAGAGAGGGGGTTTTGCTGTGTTGCCCAGGCTGGTCTCGAACTCCTGAGCTCAAGAGATCTGCCCACCTCGGCTTCCCAAAGTGCGGGGATTATAGGCATGAGCCACTGTGCTGGCCTGGGAAACCTTTACAGTTAGAGCTTTGCTGAAAACAGAGGCCAGAGGCCCAACACAGAGAAAAAACATAGAAGAAGCAGGAAGCATTGTCAGTGGTTAAAAAGCAGACTTTGGAGCCAGATAAAAAGGACTGAATCCCAACTCTGTGCAGACAGCTCTATGGCCTAGAGCAGGTGCCTCTCTGTCCCTCAGTTTCCTCATCTGTAGAGAGAGGGAAATAACAGGGTTGTCTAATAATTTGACAGCCCTATGCCTGGCACATGATAAGTGCGTAATGAGTATCAGCCATTTATGAAAGTAATGATCAATACTGGTATTATTTCAGCTCATTATAAAAAAGCTTATGTCTCAGGAAGGGCCGTAGATCCCACTCCTGCTGGTCCTGGAGAAGATTTCTTGGCAATCACGTCCTTTTATTTTGTTATTGACTTCATCAGAGAACCTGCGGGAAACATTAGCTCCTAATCCTAGTAAGAGCCAGCTGTATAGAGGGATTTCATCTGTCTGATTTTATCCAGTTCTCCAGGTCTTAGAATCTTGACTTTCCAGGGGAAAAAAAAGAGAATTTGATGTATTTTCTATATTTTTCCCATTTGTAAATTAATGTGCTACGTTTCCTCAGTTCTAAGTTCCCACCAACCTTATGACCACTGATTTTTATAACTTGCTAGGTTGGTGGGAGAAAAGTGCCAATCTGTTGTATGGTACATTCCAATCTCAACAACATTAAAATGTGAAAGAAAAAGGTACAAATTGGAATTAAGGAAACACATCGAGTTCACTAGAATTTAGAAGTCTAGAAAAACACGAAGGAGAAAATTAGAACTCCTTATACTGAGATTAGGTGTGTAATTTTAGCAGAATACTTTTAAGCAGGAAAGGACACCATTTGGCCAGCTGGTCACAAGTGTAAAACTGGGATTTGACCTGGCGCGTTGGCTCACACCTGTAATCCCAGCACTTCAGGAGGCCGAGGCAGGTGGATCACCTGAGGTCAGGAGTTCGATACCAGCCCGACCAACATGGAGAAACCCATCTCTACTAAACATATGAAATTAACCAGGCGTGGCGGTGCACACCTGTAATCCCAGCTACTCGGGAGGCGGAGGCAGGAGAATTGCTTGAACCTGGGAGGAGGAGGTTGCTGTGAGCTGAGATCATGCCATTGCACTGCAGCCTGGGTGACAAGATGGAAACTCCGTCTCAAAAACAACAACAAAAAAAGAAAACACTGGGATTTGCCTGTGCAAACTAGAACATCCACTCCCCTAATCTAAAAGCCTGAGTTAAAACCAGAGCTAACCACAGTTAACGCACCAGGCATGTGGCTTCCATTTTCCTCTCAGTGGTTATATTTTCACACCATGAGTCTTTCTTAACCTTTTTAATATTTATGTCATGAGTATTTTCCCATGTTATGAAAGAAAGATTTAAAGCTACATTTTTCATAATTACAAAAGTAGTGATAAACTGAATAAAAGTGCAGTCGTTCACATTCTGACCACAGCCAGGCTGAACAGTGAGGCTGTAGGTTCACAGAAGTCACCGGTGCAAATACCAGCACGGAGCCCTGGTGGAGCGTGTCTGATGCACTCAAGCGAAACTCGACTGGCGTCTGAGTGGGGCCAGGCGGGCAGCTGTTGTCTGCGGCTTTCCACGGTTCTCAGGAGCAAGGTGGGCTCAACACAACTCATCTAAGTCTCCGCGAAGAACAGAAGACACCTTCCAGAGCGATGAAGATCAGGACTGACTGGGAAAGCAGCAAGCTGCTTGGATCCACTTGGCAGGGACAAGAGCCTGAGACGTCTGGAAGTACGTCTGGCGTGGTGTAATTTCACAAGCCAAACAAAGCTGTTACATAAGCAGAAAAAGGAGCAAAAGGGCTCACACTGAGATGAAACTGACTCCCTCCAGTCCAGGAGTGGGATGCTGAGGCCTCAGCGAGGACTTGGCGGCTGCACTCCGGCCACCTCTGGCAATGGGGTTTGTTGCAAGGGTGTGGGGAGCAAGAACGTGGCCCAGCACAATGCCTGAGCCACAGAAGGCCCTCAGAAAAAGGATACAAAATTGTACTTGTTCATTCATTTATTCAACAAATATCTATGGAGAACTACCAAGACCAGCTCAGCCTAGAGACCCCCACCCAGGGGGGCTGAAGGCATTAAGAAGCAGACACCCTGCCGGGTGCGGTGACTCTGTAATCCCAGCACTTTGGGAGGCTGAGGAGGGCAGATCACAAGGTCAAGAGATCGAGACCGTCCTGGCCAACATGGTGAAACCCCATCGCTACTAAAAATACAAAAATTAGCTGGGTGTGGTGGTGTGTGCCTGTAGTCCCAGCTACTCGGGAGGCTGAGGCAGGAGAATTGCTTGAACCCGGGAGAGATCGTGCCACTGCACTTCAGCCTGGCACCTGGCGATGGAGTAAGACTGTCTCAAAAAAAAGCAGACACCCAGAAAGAACAGCACAGTGGGATTATCCGAGGCCCAGCAGCCTTCCAAACTGAGAGCCCCAGGGGATTACAGCATTCCGGCTGAGGGCCTTGGGCAGATTCTGACCCACATAGTTATTCTCTCTCAACAGGTGATTCTTATTAACAAACAGGTGTTCTGTGTTTTCTCATAGACCCAAGATAAACTAGCTAGGCAGCTGGTGCCTGCTTACCACTGATCAAGGACAGACTAGAAAGTATTCTCCACGAGGGATCCACGGGGGCTGGGTCACATATCCCTGCTTAAAGAATTCTTTTAACCGGTGTGTGATATACATGTACTGTTTTGCTGCTTTAGAATGCCCCGAGCAGTTTTCCACTTGGGGCGGGGCGGCTAGGTTTTCCTTGCCATCATTCTCAGCAAACAATATAATTTGTCGTACATGTTAGGACTTGTCCTAGTAGAGAACCAATATACCATTCAAGGTTTCTGGCACTGGGAGAACAGTGACAACAGATTACCATGGGACTTCCATTCAGGGGCGACAGACAGTAAGCAGACAGGTAAAATATACAACTTGCTGGGCGGTGATAAGGGCTCTGACGCAGAATGATTAGTGTCGTCTACAAATGAGAAAATATTTACCTTTTTAAAAGGCAGAGAATAAAACTATATGTATGATCCCATTTTTGAAAAGAGGAAATAAGGCTGGGATCGGTGGCTCATGCCTATAATCCCAGCACTTTGGGAGGCCAAGGCGGGTAGATCACTTGGATCAGGAGTTTGAGACCAGTTTGGCCAACATGGTGAAACCTCGTCTCTACAAAAATACAAAAAAATTAGACGGTATGGTGGCGCACGCCTATATCCCAGGTACTTGGGAGGCCGAGACAGGTGAATCACTTGAACCCAGGAGGCGGAGGTTGCGGTTGCAGCAAGCCAAGATCGTGCTATTGCACTCCAGCCTGAGCAACAGAGTGAGACTTCATTTCAATAAAAAGAAAGAAAGGAGGAAATAGTACATATGTGCTTAACATATACATACATGGAAACAAATACCCAAAAATGCCGGGGAGGTGGTTATCTCTGAGAAGCAGCATTATGGGTAGCTTTTGTCTTCTTAAATAGACACTTGCCTGAGTTCATTTCTATAATGAGCAAGTATTGGTTCTATAATTATATTAACACTTTTTTTCTAAGCGAGAGATGACAGGAGCACCATTTAGAATGGGCTGACACTTGTAAGTCAGAGTCCCAGAGCGCTGTTGGCCAGTGTGAGGGAATCAGGCAGAGTTACATTATGGACGTTCCTTCTATCACCCGGTTCTCCCTGCTCACTCCCAGGTGGGACCAGATAGAATTTAGGCCCTCAACCGAAAAGAGGCCCGAAGCTGGGCCCTGGGGCTCTGTATACAAGCAAGGGCAGCCTGCAGTGAGGTAGCATAGCAGTTAGGAACGGGGACTGTGAGCTTCAGCCAGGGCCCCAGGCCTGGCTTCTTAACCTGGCGGTGTGACTTGAGCAAGTTACTTGACCTGTTCTCAGTTGCCACATAAAAAGATGATAGTGGTACTTACCTCCTGGGACTGTCGTGATGGACTTAGTGAAAAATTTTAGGCTGGGTGCGGTATCTCACGCCTATGATCCCAGCACTTTGGGAGGCCGAGGTGGACACATCACTAGAGGCCAGAAGTTTGAGACCAGCCTGGCCAACACTGCAGATGTTGGAGGAGACACCCCTTACCCTGGGTGGGTTGGGTACGAGCAGAAGCCACTGCACTGTTCCAGCCCAAGCTCGCTTCTTGAGGCCTCCCTCTGGGATATGCTCCCTCTTCTAAGCCTTGGAGTCAGGTAGACCTTGATTTGCTTCTTGGTTCCACCACTAGGTGATCTTCCTTGGGCAAGTGACCTGCCTTGGTCCTCACTTTCTTTAGATCTGTGAATTGGGCGGAGTCGCAGCTGGCTCCAGTTGTGAGGATGAAATGCACCAGGACTGCGCTGCCTGGTACCTAGCAGGTGTTCAGTAGACGCTTGCCACTCCCTCTTGCCTCCTCACCACAGGCTTCCCAGATCACCCCCTGGCCTTCCACACCGTCTGCCTGCCTCAGCTAGTGTTTCCTTCCCCCACACCCCTCCCCCGGGGGTTTCCATGGCCCTGACCCGCCAGGCATCGTCCCTACCCATTTCTCTCTATGCTGTTCACTTTTGCTGACCACATGTCAATAACCAGTGATGAGGCTGGGGCACACTTTGGAGCCACAGCCTCTAGGGTGAGCGGCATTATTGCTATGGCAACAAGAGGCAGCAGCCCTGAAGAGGGTGCCTGCTGAGCCGGCGGCCTGGGTCCCAGCTCTGCCTCCAGACTTACTAGCTGTGTGATCAGCTCATATTACTCGATGTCTCTG